CTAGATCACAATTTCCCCTCACAAACTAATGCACTTCTGAAACAGCATGATCTGCATATAGCCAAAAGTTCATAAAAGCACATGAAAGTGTTCACCTTTTGCACAAAAGAAACAAAGAAAAAAACACACGTCTGTTGCGTAAGGACTTATGTGGCAACATGGATGCAGACTGAACACACGGTCAAAACACTCTTCAATTTACACCATTAAGTTTGACTCTTTTTTGCCATTGCCTTGATCAAAGCATTCTTTAAGAGCTGTGCTATCCTCATATGGCTCAGTCCACATTAAGGTAGATAGAGCCCTGTATACTATGACGTTCAGATCTCTTTACTTTCACTGCATCCATTATTAGTCTAATTTCTCTTTGGTATCTTTCCATTTCTTTCATAACTTGTCCTTTTTGTATTCAGCATCTCCCTAGTTCTCATGTTCATCTTACTTTTCTCTTACGATATGCATGTATAGTTCTTCATCCCACCACCTGTTCATATGCTTCTTTTGGTGAGATGGAGAAAGGGGAATACAGCAAGCATTTGTTTAAACTTACTTTACATATATGGTTTACTAGTAAGAAATAAGAGACCCCAGATAATTTTCATGTGTTAACAAGATCCATCAGTGTAGCAGTCTGAACCATTAAAAGCTGTCAAAAAGTTAAAAACTCATTTTCTGCCTCAGTCATTACAACTAAGTTTGAATTTTGTAACCAAAGGCAATCATAGTCAAATGCCCCATCTTATCATTAAAAATGTCCCACCTTCAGATTACTCCCAGTTTTGTTTAATTGCAAAGTTTTCAAAGAGCTTCATGGTTTAGAACAAAGTTACTGAAATCACTTGAGAGAAAAAGCTATCTAGAAGTAGGAGAAAATATCTGGGTTTGACTTTGGCAGGCAAGATCCATGCGTTTGTTCATAACTTTTAATCAGCTTGGTAAAAAAGTACTGCATTTTGACTGATAGTCCTAGTTGGACTTCCACACAAAAGTCATAACAAGCAGCTATGAAGGGCCTGTGGGAAAAGTAGTATTTTGGGGTCATTTATCCCCAAAGGAATACTTTTTACTTTTTTTTTTTACTTTTATTTTTTTAGATCAACCCACTTGATATCTGGTCAGAGAAAGACAGATTTCTGTATTGCAAACTGCACACTCCCAAAAGACTGCAAAAGGGGCAAATCATCAACAGCCAGCAGCTCCATTTAGGACATGGCAGGCAGTTCAGAGAGAGCTTAAGGAAAGACAAGCACCATTCAAAGGGTGATCCTTAAATTCACAGATGGGAGAAGACAGCTGGCACTGGCCAAGTATGATGGGAACTTCAGACTTAGTTTGTTATATTACTTTGCACTGCACTACCACACAAAGCTCAAAGCATTGACAGAAGCTTCTTACAAACATTCAAAATAACCTCAATAGCCCCACTGGGATTAAGTATACATTTGTTTCCCTCTACTTCTGTCAGATTCTATTTGTTAGTTTGTTACAGGGCTGCTTTGGGGAAGGGTGAGTTCTCCCTCCTTTCTGGTTTTGGTAAAACCTACAGAAACTCTACAGTTTCTAAAAGCAGCTGTGATAACATTCTGGTCTGCAACCACCCACTTGCAGTGCTCCTAGCATGTTAGTTGAACTATAAATGTTGTCCTTTTGCTGGAATATGAACACCTTGTGCTAAAATTTTATGCAGTTCAAATTGGCAGAAATATTTTCACCCTTTTAATTGAATTATGCTGTTTCAAAATTTATCCACTGATCTACCTTACATGAGTTTACTTCCATCCATGCATAGTGGTATGTTGCTGTATTAACATTTGCAAATATAAAGTTGTTTATTTTGCAATTAGCTGTTATTCACATTCACTTTTTTTTTTTTTTTTTTTTTTTTTTTTTTCCAGCAGTGCAAACAGAATAAAATGGGACTAGTATTATTCTTCCACAGATACTCTAAGGGAACTCACAAACTTTCTCCTGCCTTCTCCTCTCCTGTTCCCCTGTTTGTTTGCAGTTTCATAAACTGGTTAGATGGAGTCAGGCATACACACAAAATGATAAGAGATGTCTTGGCAGCCATCAGTGAACTACTATATGCACTTTCATATCCTCCAGCAGGCAAGTAAGCCAAGGTGTTTCATAAGAGCAACCCACAAATCTTAATGAATACACTTAAGAAATTAACTGAAGAATTCACCATTTATGCTGCTGCATCTTGCAAGAGTCTAAAAACTTCACCTTCAAATTGAAGAAACAAAAAGGATTTTTTCACACAAAGCCATTAAAAACAGACCCCATATTAAAAGTGATTAAAATATACATAGGTAGAGCAAAAGAAAGAAATGGGTTTCACCAGTTACTCCAATGAATTTTGCAATGCTATCTGAAAGTCTAGCACAACATGAGAGCTTATCCACAGAATAGTATCTTTATTCATACTAACCCTATTTTAAGTCTGTTTGTGCACAGCTCACAGACCAGCTGTATACTGATACTGTTCCTGAAGTCAATCACCAGAACATGCTATTTCAACAAGCTCTAAAAGACCAGTGAAAAGGAGCAAGGCAAATGGTAAAAGAATTGCCTCATATGGTGCTACCTGATGCCAGCTAGAGTCCAGAACACCACAAACAAAATATTTTAGTTTTTTTACTGGTGGGGAATGAGTGAGCTGACTTGCTTGTCATCTTTATCTGTAAAAGCACTCCACTACTACAGCTTAGGAATGAATGTATCCCAAACTGTCATCTTAACTTAGATATAAAAAATGAAGCCAAAGAGAGGGTAAGTTATTTCCACACAGCTCTTTAACTTCTCTTGGTAAGAAACTGATTGGTACAGCCAATGTACTGGAAGCCTCCAGAGAACGTGGTGCTCCCTGTCACATAAACTAGACTCTTCCAGGTACAGCCAGTGCTTACACAGCATAGCTCAAACAACAACCACCTGCTCTACATTTATTTCTGGGGACACTAAATGCTGTTAGTCCCAAACTCCAACCATTTTCAAGCTCTGTAAGCAACAGAATTATTCAGCCAGGACACAGTCCAAGTAGGGGATAGATAATCCCCATGGAAAAGACAGGATAAACTAGCATTAAAATATATGAGAAATATAACAAAGTCTTCAAGACAAAGCAGGTGCCTGCCATGAACCCAAAAGGGATGAAAATTTCATTCCTTACGTAAAGATATTTCCTACTGGACATACAGCATTGATGCCTATTTGCACACTTCTTTTTCTGATTTTCAGTGGGACGTTTTTTCCTTCTTGTCATGTACATGGTTATGCGAGAAACACCGAGTGCCAGTTTGAGTTCTCCATTTACTGAGTGATCAGGTTTTTGTTTCGTTTTGTTTTGTTTTGTTTTCTAAAGTAGTTTCTGAAGAAGGGTGGGGAGATATTTAATGAGAGGGTGTCTGAGGTGACCATATTGTATTTTCACAAGACAACAGAAAAATGAAACACTGCCTTTTCTGCATCTCTGCCTGACGGCAACTCAGGAATTTCCTTCTTATGAATGCAAAATATTCATTCACATTTTGGGGAATATTTGACAAGATTTTTTAATCATGTTTTATAGATATTTTCCAAGGCAACATGGATTTTTATTCTCTCCTACTTCCTTACTAAGAGTGTTTATTAAACTTCAGTTATAAAATAATCTCTATATGCTAAATTGGGACTAATTTTGCTGTCACTTAATTCAAAGGCATGTGACTCAGAGAGTTCATGGGTAGCTGACCTGATCCTGGTATTCAGAACTTACAAGAAATGTTACTTTATTTTGCTTTATTTTACTCATGCTCATACACCCTAGATTGTTTACCTTCATTTATTAATTATCAATATATATTTATGCTGCAGACTTTTCAAAGCAGGTAATATTTTATTATTAGTCTAGGTCTTATATATTGATGTGGTGTTCTAATCTCATGTTTTAAATATTGCTTTAGTATCAATTCAATAATTCAATTCTAATGATGATAAATCAAGAAAGTGTTTCTGGGACTTTGGACTATGGATAGATCCATACTTGAATGCTCACATATGAATGCAAACTTTGGAGAAGTTTGAGGTTCACATCAGGCACAACTGAAGGTCATTCCTTTCTAATGAAACATTTAAATTATTTGTAGCTCACCACTACCAGACATACCATGCCTGTGATTAATTTTTGAAGGACTGTATGTGAACTGTGATCTTGCATCACTGCTGTTGGTAACCATCATTAGTCGCATTTAGAGAATAAATAAACTCCGTGCATGAGGTTGCTGCCCTTTCAGAAATTTATGTAGTCATTATCCCAAAAGAATACCCTTAATAAAATATGAGCTAGATAGACAATTTTGCAACTAAAAACCTACCGAAGTCAAACTTACAGATTATGCAGTATGATAACCCCTTCCCGAAAGGGACACACTTGCCACTCTCTCCTGCAGCCACTTACCAAGATATGCACAGAAGCTCAAGAAAATGCATCTGTCAGAATGTGCCAGTAAGACAGGAAGCACTGCAATTGCACCTTCCACTCTTGCTATCGTTTTCCTTGCATCTATCACCCTAAAGCAACATTTAAAGTATGGTCTGAAGTACCTCTGATGTACAGCATAGATTCTCATCAAATATTTGTAATCTAATTCATATCAAAATAAATTTTAAGTTCCTATCTTATTTCTCCCTACACTGAACAACACACTACACTCAGGGAGTATTTTACTCCAGGACGTGTCCCACAGGGCTGTGCAAGCAGGAGGGAAAGAAATTGGATTTGTCATAAGAGAAAAAAAAAAAAAAAACAGAGGCACAGAAGAACTTGATCCAAAATTCTGTATTCCCATCTACATTTGTCTCTGCCCTTACTTACCTGATGAATAAATGAAACACTAACTGTGATGGCTCTTTATCTGGTTATCTGAAATGCTCTTGGTGCAGAAGCCTAATGTAGAAGTTTGTTCAACCCGCAAAAATCATGACATATTTAAGACATAAAAAGCAACCCTGCTTACCTTTCATTCCAAACTTAGAGTGTCTTCCAAACTTCAGAATAATAAGCATTATTACTAAGCCAGTGCACACCAGTGCTGCAATTCCCACCACAACATACACCTAAAAAAGAGTACACAAATACAAGTGTTTATATTGTTCTCATTATCTGTTTTCCAATAAAACATTTAAGATGACTTTAAATAAATTAAAAACATTAAATGAGACATTTAATTCAGATTAAATCAGTTAGGTAAAGAAATTAATTTCAACCAGGAAACATTTGCACCCAGATCAAAGAGTAGTGAAAACAGCCACTTCTTGAAGTTTCTTCCTTCCTTCTATCCTACAGAGAACAGAGATGCAGACATCTCTGAGAATCACTTTTTCAACATCCTACATGTTCAAGGCAGAGAGGGAATGTACATCTCCTCCTTCCCTTCCAACAGAGTGGCATGTTACAGGAAAGCATGTAAGGAAAGTGCATCAGAAAAAACCTTTTTACTGTGAGGGTTGTCAGACACTGGCACAGGTTGCCCAGAGTAGCTGTGGAGCCTCTGTCCCTGGAGATACTAAAAATCAGACTGGACACAGCCCTGTGAAACTTGCCTTGATTTATCTGACCCCACTTTGAGTCAGGAGGGGAAGAGGAACTGAAAATTTCCAGAGATCCCTTTCATCCTCAGCCATTCAATTATTCTGTTATCAGGGAAGATAAGAGTGGCTGGGATCCTCGAGATGGGGGACTGGAGGTTTGTCAGCGTTATGGCATTTAATAGACAGGAACAGGACAAGACAGGAGCTTTAGGAACCCATCCACTGCCCTCTCAGGACTTCTCACCCCCCAGCCATCAACACTGGAAGGAGACACTGGTCGGGTTTCCTCTAATTCCTCCCCCATGGAGGAATGCCTCCTGAATGCCTTCTTTCCTTCTCCTCCCTAGCTCTCAGCCCGTGCACTGGTTCATAACGCACATGCCCTGCATGCATTGCCTGCTGCTGTGCCAGGGCACTGAAGCTGGGGGGCAGCAATATTAACCAGGCTAGCCACTCAATGCCAGTTTCCAGCAATTCAGCTCAGTGTGAGAAGCAAGGCAGCAAAGGAGGAGACCCACCAGTTTAGCTACTTATGCTGAAGTTCTCCTGCACATGATCAAAGCACTAGACAAAAACACGTTTTAGAAGCATAGGTAAAGAGTCTGAAAGTTTGTTACAACACAGCCTCTCTGTTAGGAGCAGCTGACTTCAGGACTGGAATTCAAACAATCTTTAAATTACCTTGGATGCCTTTGTTTTGTAAATAAAGAGTTGCTCTCCTTGCCTAAAATTAGAAACAGAGTCTTGGCCTAAAAAATTACAGTTAGTTGTTCAGAAAAACACAAAACCAATTAAGTAGCTATTTTACTTGATCTGAGAAGGGATTCTCTCTTTCAAAAAATGGGACAATGGAAGGGTAGGAGTCGGGTACATTGCTCTAGTTTTTCCTTTTTTTTTTTTTCCCTGTTTTGATCACAACGTGGTAATAGCTCCAGTGTTCTAGTAGCTTAGGGTCCCATTACAATCTCTGCAGTTTCATTAGTTGCATAGTCAGAAAGTCTGCCAAGATTACAGATCAGGAAACAATGTATATACTTACAGTGATGCTATCTTCATTCTCTTTGTTGGAAACATCCGTAGAAGTGATTTGATTACTGTTATTTGTGGTGTCTCCAAGATCATTAGGCGTGGTTTCATACTCTTAGAAAAAAAAAAAAAAAAAAAAAAAAAAAAAAGATTGCTTTTATAATTTCGTAACCTCAGAAGGGAAATGGTTGTCTTATTATTTCTGCTCTGTAGCACAGTAAGGTCAGCAACACCTCTTGGGACTCTTTGAAAACAGCACATACTTGCTGTTGTACTTGGTACACTAGGTGGAGGATCTCTGTGACAGGTAATTTTAAACAAATGTGTTGTGACTGAGAGACTTGACAACAGAAGCTGCTTCTCTCTGCAGCCTAACAGAGAATCAATCTACACCAAAATCTCTCTGTCTATTGGAAAACCTAGAGTTAATAAGAACTCCATCCATAAAGCTATTTTTATGTGTTTCTGACTTCCCATTAAAAATGAAAGACTGCCCTCTACACTGAACTTCTCTAGCCTTATATTCAGCCAAATATAGGACTGTCTTAGAAAATAGCTTGGGGACTTTTGTTTAGCTGAGGTGAATTTAGCATATGGCTTTTTAGCCGGCTTATTACTCTAAAATGTGAAATAGCTGTTTTTCTTAGTTTAAAAATAATTTTATAATACTGTTGTGTGCATAGGAGTTAAAGTTTAGCATGACAAGGTCATAAAGGTAAAACTTTAAAAAGTAACATGCCTGAGATAGTCTGAAGAAATTTGATTTATCAAAATAATCCTACTGACCAGTCTACAGGGTGAATCTGGGACTACTCCATCAAAGGAATGAACAGGCTTTAATTATTTATAATTATTTTAAAATGAAACATATTTACAGTCCATAATTTTTTTTGTCAAATTTATTCAAATGAGATAAAAAGAATTAAATACTATGCATATGAACTTAGAGATACATACATTAAAATAAAAACTGAATGTATTTTATGATTACATCTGAAAATATACATAATGTTTCAATTTTATGACTGTAATGTGTGCAGATCAAAGAAACAAATAAGGGCAATAACTGCATCTATTACTCATGCACCTCTAGCATTGTAATTTAAATTAGCAATTAATCCTGTATTTCTTTGCATATTTTGATTAAAAACAATGCCATAAGCCTACAGATGAAACTGTAGCCATAAATATGAAAAAGCAAAATGCAAAGGCATAGCTCTTGCTAACCACAGAGGCACTAACCCTTGCTACTTAGAAAGGGGAGGGAGGAAGGGAGGGAAGGCTGCACCTTTGTAGAATTTGCCTTCTCTAGCTCCCAAGGCCATTTTGGAGAGCTCAGCTGGCAACGCTAGCAACAAGCTGCACCAGGTTTTTGATCTTCATGCATGCACAAACACATTTTCTTTTGCAAACCACTCAGCAGGCTGGAGATTTTTGGTATATGAACCCACACAGCTACCTCTGCCACCAGTGTACAGTCAGGTTGTCTAATAAGCTCTGTTCTGGCTCTCTACTACACATGCCGACGGACAGGATTTTTTTTCAAGCCAAAATACATACAGAGCTTTCATAGGAAACAAAATTTAATTTCCTGGTCTTTTACCATTTGAACTCTCCAACTCAGCTTTGTATCTCTATGCCTATAGCTTCCTATGCAGCAAGGTCAAAATAGTAATGAAAAGCAAACAGCATTCCTTACTCCAGGCAACATAAACGCTACCCAAATGACTCACCTGCACAACCAGCCTGGACACTGAGGCAGAGTGCTGTGCAGACCAGCCAATACTCTGACTACAGGTTTTGCCAGAGCAAAAGAAGAAACTTGTTCATTTGGAAGCAGCACATAAGCTCTTCACTAGTACAGAACCCAGTTTGTAACAAGTATCTCAGCCTACAAGACTGGGTTTCCTTTACAGTTACCTTCACTAAATACTCACTGAGAGTTTTGACCAACCCTATTTACAGTAGCTTTATAAGACCAATAAACAAAACATATTGAGAACCTTCATTGCTCTCTGTAGTACAAAGTTTCTAGAGGGATTTTTTTTTTCTCTTAAATTTACCTGTAAATAGTGGAGAGCAAAAGCAGTTGTTCTTTGCAATTCTGTTTACATCCACATCTGTACTAAGCTACTAGGAAGCATACCCTGAAGGATTAATGAGAACTATGCAGAATATTTTATGTCTGGCTTGTGAGTCCTCTGAATGCAGTTTTATATTAAAATGGGCAAGAGAAAAAGTAGGTCACTTCGGTACATTGGTGTTGCATTGCCATTTCCCACCGTATAACTGTGAAACATTTACATTTGAATGAGTGCCAGATTTTCAAAGCCTCTTGAAATGGGTAAGCCAGGCAAGGAAAACATGCACAACAGCCATCCAGCCAAAACCAGGCAATTCTGAATTAAACAAATTCTTGTTCACTTTATTATGCAATCATGCTATAGACACATAGCATTCTGATACAGACAGGGTCACGCCTCTTGACTCACACTATCTGGGACTTGTATTGCTTCAGGGCCAGATTCCCTGATGCCTAGCACCTTATGCAGTTACCTACAGCTGTGCCAGTTGAGGTAAAGCACATCTTGAGCTGGGTAGTATCCTGCAGCTGCTTTAAAAACAAGGTGCAAAGCAGCTGGGATACAGATGAGAGCACTGCAATAAACGCTGGGGCATCATTGTGCACAGTCCTCCTGGGGGCTAAGTGCTACGGGACATGATATCTCTGTCATGTTCGTGACCACATTAGAAGAAGCAGGGTGACATGGAAACATGAACTAGCAGCCAAGGAATCTGGCTCTGCATTTGGTTTCCTGCACAACTCTGGGCAGGTTGCTCTGTCTCCACCAGTAATTCCTGCACAGGACCACACCGGCCTCTCCTCCTCGCCTTTTTCAGCCACGAGGGACCAGTGAGCATGCCAAGAGCAGGTGAGGCTCCACGTGCAGGGAGCCCCCCCAATGAACATAACATCATGCAGACTTCTGCTGCCTCCCCAGTTCTTCTGTTTCCCACAGTATTTTTAAAACACTTAATGGGAAGCCTTTGGAAACCACCTCACAGGGAGTGCAAGACACAGAAGGGTCAAGACCCAAGGGACAGCTGGGGAGTGGGTGGCTTTTAAACCTCCCTTCGACATATCTGAGTTGCGGGTAAACATTAGCACAGAGATCAAGTGGTCTGAAAAGGAGTCGTGGAAAAGGCTGGGTCTCCAGGGGGAGCTAATCCCAGAGGGTCCCCCTGTCAGCTGTGCAGGCTGTGGTTTTACACAGAAGTGAAAGAGCTTCTCTGCTTTCCAGCCTGCATCATATATTCATCTCACCAACTGGACTTGTGAATTTGGAATAATTTAGGGAAACACTCTGGAAAGTGTTTCTCAAAGCAAGCACTGAGTCACTGAAGCAAAGATCAAAGACAGCAATTTCAAAAAATAGGAAGAAAAGCCAGAAATAACAAGGAGTACTGCTTCCATCAGGATGAGATCTTGCTGGTTGTGATTCACTTGCACAACTTTGTGCACACAGTTCCACAGAACGTACCAAAGTCACTTGAAGCACAGCGCTCACATGGTTAAAGCCATACACATGCACCAGGATCTTGGCGAACAGCTCAGAATCAAAAGCTTCATGTACATATGTATATATGCTTATACAATACAATAGAATTAAGAAATTGTGCAAACCATCATCACCTTCTGCAACCTCCATCCCCCTTAAAAGTAATAATTTGAAAAGAGAGGGAGGGGAAGCTGTGCTTTAGTATTTCTAAGCACTTAAAGCCAAAATGATGCTTCAATTGCACATTTGCTAAAGTTTAATGACATGGAATGGAATCAAAGCAATAACATTTAAATCAGCTTAAAGAAAACTTGACTTATGGGCCATTTCACCCAAATGAAAGTACTCCAAAGAAGGTTCAAGCTTCTGCTGGAGCCTAAAGGGTATTGGGGTATGTCGGTTAGGATGGACTTTTCATGCTCACCAGAAGTACTACGTAAAACTATCTGGTTGTTTTGCTGTTCACAGCGTCTATTCTAGTGCATGCTGGCTTCTACTAGGTACAGCCTAAAATATTTTGTCTAACTAAAAACTAATGTGAACACCATGTCATCAAATCTTCTGGCACTCACTCAGATATCACTGAGCTGATGCTTTGCTTATGTAAGGGAGATTAAGGGAAGGTACAAATGAGAGGACAGAGAAAAATAAATTGCCTACAGGAAAACTTATGTGTACCAACCTCATTTCTAACTGGGATTTAGGGGTAAATTTTTGGAAACTAAACAAGTATGAAAACATTCCTGAAAAAATAAATTACGTTATATAAGGAGAACTCATGAACTTCCTTTCCTCCAAAAAAAGCCTCTGAAAGGTTCACAAAATCTCTTGCCTGTGAGTTACATCAGACTACTGTCATCCCACAGAACCAATTGCAACCATTCATAGGAGTGGATTTATGCCTCTCCTAATGTGAATCAAAAACAGCAGGGTAAGTAAAGCATCACATTGCCCTTACCGATCTTAAATAGTATAAGGCGGGAGAAGAACCAACAACACAAAGTACCTTCAGAATTGTATTGTAACATGTGCCATTCAGTTTAATTGAGCCTGACATTCAATCTTTTAGTGGTTTGAGTTCCTTCATTTCTATCATTAAAAGAAAAGAAAAGAAAATCAAATATATACCATAAACGTCTGGATCCACAATTGGGCCACTACCTGTACATGGAGAAAATAAAAGAAACAAAAAAAAAAAAAAAAAAAAAAAAGAAAGAAAGAAAGAAAGAAAAAGCCTTTGTAAATAGATTGTAAATACTGAAAGAATAAGACTTTCTTTAGGATTTTTTTTAAGGGTTGACATGTTATTTGTAATAGCATTTATCAGTACCTACACAAACACAAAGCAACATCAATATATTACACTACCTGTTAATCAGATTACATTTCCACTTATTTTACAGCTACCCCAACTTAGCACTTGGTTTCATGTACTCTCTGCTGTTAATGTGTATCTGAAAAAAGTGCAACAATAACTATTCTTGTTGAGAATCAATGATAAGATTCACCTTGACCTTAAGCAGACTTCAGTGGGAGTTATCATCAGTGACTTTTACCTGGACAAAAATTTTTGCAATTTAAGCACTGCAAGAGCAAAGTGGTTTACAGCTACAACACTGTGAGCTGTCAAGTTAAGGGCTAGAGGTATAGAGGTATATATTGACCTACACAGCCCAATCTCATTCACTCTGTGAAAGGATGCTTCCCAGAATGCAGCTGCACAGATGAACCACAGAGTTCTTTGTACCAGAAGAGTCTCCTATAAGCCAGCTTTTACAGAGGCAAATGGACACATCTAGTCTACACTTTTCTAAATTTTACTAGTTCCACTTTGCAGCTTTTTCTAATTATCACACATACATAAGGCTGAGCACATATGTGAGTGTAATGCACGGAACGCCCACTGAAATTAGCATGACATTAGACTATACACACCCTGAAAGATACCAGGCATTATATTTCAACATACTCATTCATCTTGGTTTATAATGTATTTATAGCATAGCATAGTTTATCTAGTAGGCTCCTAACCATCTTTTCCTTATATCTACCCTTTCTTTTTGTTGTTTTGGAAATAAAATTAGCAGATAGTTAAAACCTTTAAAGATAAATTAAACTTCAAAAAGCATAAGTCTAGTTCTGTGTAGTAATTACACACCAGTGGCATTATATTGGAATAAAGCCACTGACAAGTATGACCAGAACACAGTTGTTTCTGCTTATGTCAACAGCTTGAGAATCTGTGCTGAAAATATGAAACAAAGAGTTGCAAACTATCTGCAGAATGGCAGCAGATAATTAGGTTTGCTTTTAAATGCATTTGAAGATATTCTAGTATCCAGAGATATAGGTTAATAGACCCCATGGGAATTGTCAATCTGCGGAAATAAGTAATAAGTGAAAACAGCCTGTACTACTACTGCCTGTCCTCAAGCAACTTCTGACCAGGGTTTCCAATGAATAAACATTCATGGATTCAGTTTTTCCACTATAAAACATCCATCAGATGAAAGATGATTTTTCAAATTTGCTTTCTGTAATCTGAAGGAAAAATAACATCAGCAAAACTCCCAGGCCTTTATTTCCTGATAACATGGCAACATTTTTGTTACTATTTACTAGAATGAGCTAAAGTCATCAAACTAGTTTAACCCTTAATTCCTGTCAGGGAAGTCATGACTAGGAAGTCATTGACTCCAGTCAAATACCTTTTGCACATCTAAATACTTCACTTCAAATAAAGTGGCAAAAATCAGGTTTTTGAAATTTGGACCAAACCCAAATTTCTATTTAGAATTGTCTTCATAAAAGCATATCTACTCAATCACCAAAACATCACCTGAAGCTATTTTAACATCAGACTTCACCACAGTCATTTTACATGTTTACATGCAATTATTTTTTAAGGCAAACAAAGAGCAGCGTAGTTGTTTTGGTCCCTGTTAGAACAGGTTGCTGTGTAAATAAACTACTAAGAATCTTATCCTATTCACTCATCTTTATAAAGTACATCAACTTGATTTGCTTGCTTCTTTCTTTATAAAGTTGACATTTCCAAAATAAAGCAGCAGCAGCAAAGACTCAATCCAAAAACATTAATTTTTCAAAACAGACCCATGTTGTTATGCCACATTAACAAGATACTACTTTTAAAGCATATTTAACATTTTCTTTTACTTTTGCAATACACTGTGTGACTTGAATTCCTACAGCTGAATTTTAGAGTACAGGGCTGGTAAATGACAGAGCTTACTTAATTATTATTGGTAAAAATCTCTCCAGCACTCATTAGTTGTTTTGGATCAACTTTGGGAACAGCTCCCGGAATGTAACTTGGATGTTTCTTGCCTAGTGTTTGTTGTAGTGTAAACTCAAATAAGCATATTATCATCAGCCGGAACAGCTTTACTGGAATTCAAGAATTTTAGCAGATTAAAAGTAGTTTAAAATCTACCTCACAGAATCTGAAATTTCTTCTTCTAGACTTTAGCATCTAAAAGAGACTTTTATTTTATGATGCTAACAATGATACCATTAACTCAATCCAAATATGTTTTCCTCTCATTTGTGTCTGCAAAGAAATATCTACAAGAAGCTTGCTGGAAGTTGAGAATATCTTAGCACAAATTCAGTCTTCGTCATCATGTTTGATGCAACTTTGAAAGTAAGTATTACTCTGTTGATGACAGAACATGGCTCAGGCTTAGTTGTAATTTAGATAGACATATAACTTATAGGTGAGGGCTTATATATACACATATACATTTTTTTGTTTTGTTTTGTTTTGTTTTTTACAGTCAGTGCATTTGCTCATAAGTGATGTAATAACCAGAGAATCAGTTCAAAGCCTAGTGAAGATACCCCACCCCATGAAACATCAGGACAGGTATTTAATTCAGTTACGATGGCATGGAAATGAACATAATACCAGGGTGTGGACCTTAATCTTTATGCTTCATTGTACAATATGTGCGCCAAAAGAAGAAACTACACAATAAAGACAGCACTGAAGAAGTCTTTTACATGTAGGTGTTTAGAAGAATCCTAACAGTGTTTTAAATTATAATACTAAATAGTAATATTAATAGTAACAGTAATAGTAATAGCAGTAATAATAATGATAATAATGGAGGATTCTGTTCTGTTTTTTTGTTTTTGTTTTGTTTTTTAACATTTGCTTTTATGTCACCTTCAGAGGAAGAGAAAAAAAATGTCGTGAAATATTCTAAAGCTCAGTGCCATGATTCTTACAGGAAAAAGCTCCACTAATAAGAACAACACTGAGAAGACTAACTAGATAAGCAATTTCCCCTGTTGTTAATTTTTAAGACTGGTTTGGTGCCATCTATGCATGAACTGATGCAGCCTGTATGTAGTCCTGTTTCCTCCATACTGTTTTTGTGAAGCTTAATCCACCACAGAGCTTCGGAAATGCTTAAAGAATACAGCACAAATGAGACCTAAATTCCTTATGTATATAAAAATAATAGAGCAAATAATAACATTGTCTTTCTTATTTGGAGGATGCCTTCTGTTCTGCTTTGTGATTTACAAGGCCATAACTGGAAAATTTTCAGTGTAAAGGCAAAAAGAGTAAAAGAAAATCAGAACAGAAAGAGGAATTTGGATCAAAGACAAAAAATGATAAAATCTTATAAATGTATTAGGGAAATTGTTACTCTGCTGAGAAAATGAAGCCAGGTTCATATTAAATAGCTAGAGTGTAGCAGAGCTTCCATTGCATGGACTAGGTAAACTGTATTGCTGAGCTGCTATAACACAGTATCAGAGGATGCCAGTATCTGAAATCATGGCATGTTCCTGTAATGAGTCTATTTAAGGAAGAACTGCAGAGAAGAAAGAGGAGAGGAGTGCTAAGGACAGCAGGAGTAAATACAGCCTGGCTGTATCAGCTCTTCACCTTTTCTTTCTAAGTGTGGGAAAGAGAAAGACCTGCCGTCTTACTCCCTATAGGAGACTGAGCTGTTAGGAGCAAATGTTAAATACAGACCATATTTTTACTGTCTCTAGCCTGCAATGCAGGAGGGAGAATTTAAATATTCTCTTTTTTTTTTTTTTTCTTTTTTTTTTTTGTCTCTTAGATAGCATTGGCAATGCACATTGCTCTTTCAGAAAAAAAGGTTTTTTATATCCTGTGATTAAAAAAACAAACGTAGATATATGCTCATAATTTCAAATACAATTGTGCAATTATTTGCACCAAAATATGCCTGTATTTCCACTCTTGCTGTGCAAGGTGCACTCATAGGTTTTTCCACATAAAACAATACACTTGTATATAAGCCTTCTTACCCTTACAGTCACTTCACGTATAGTTTTGAAGATATGGGGAACTACCACACCACAGTGAACATCAGTCACTGACAGGAATCCCTGCAGTCACTGAGTTAATCAACCTTGAGTCTGCTCTCATACGTTCAGAATGGCTGAGGCAGAGCCTCTAGAGTAGAAGATGCAGATATTTAACAGCAACTATCTTGAACATGGATATTCCTAGGCATGTAGATTCCCAACATCAGCTGAAATGAATGGGAATTGGACATCAAAATGCCTGAGAGGGCCTTAGACTTTGACCACCCTACCTCTGGATTACCTGTTTTCTCTCCAGCTCCCTCTGGTGTCCTAGACAAGGTATTATCATCAACTCACTGGACTGCATTACTGATTTTTCCACAAGGCACCAGGTTCTAATGAAGGCATCCCCGTGTCCTTGGATACACTACCTAGCTGCATTCATACATAGTATAGGAAACCTGTAGAGTGATTGAACAGGCACTCTTTGCTTTCCCAATCAGAACTGGGGCTTGAGGAAACATTTCAGAGGCAGCCACCTTTCACTTGCCTTAGCAGACATGGGAATGATTACCTAAAGGAAGGATTTAGAGAGCAGTAGCATGGCCTGCCTTGAGAAGCAATAAACAAGAAGAAAATGTTAAAGGAAAGCAATATTTTAAACCTGATTTTGATGACACTCATTCAGAGGACAGAAAAAAAAAAAAAAAGCGTATAAAACTTTTTCTGAAAAACTGTTGAGCTGGCCAGGAGCATTGTCTCCACAATCCCATCAATTTGTAACAACTAACACTGAAAAAAAAAGTAAATTATACTCACCATCTCCAGGCACTGACATGAAATGAGCATCAACCCGTTTTTCATCTTCTCCATACTCATTCTTTGCCAGTAAGGTATAAGCACCATTATTCAGGTGTGTAGGGTTGTCCAGCTGAAGGCAGCCATGGTATTCACTTTGATTGATAACATGTATTTTAGTACAGATGTATTCAGACTCATTCAGTATAGCCCCTTCATAGAACCACTGCAATGTGGGCTTAGGGTTCCCTTTCACAGTGAATGGAATACACCAGTGGTGGTCCGGGGTTGGAGATTCAATAAATGTGATATTTGGTGCAACTATATTGGAAAAAAGAGTGAAGAACATCAGAATATCCTGAACAAGCCATTTTCCCCAGCCCTTCAAGTTATCAGGGAAGTATTTTTCATTCAAAAGTGCAAAAGCATGTTACTTGTAGGAATTATACCTATTTGCAGGACACTCACGCAGTACACTCACTGGCTCTGCCTTGGGTACTACATTCACAACTGAAATTAAGCCATTCTTCAGAAAGAAACAAAACAAACCAGTTTCAGACAAAGACTGAACACCACTTAAATCCCACACCCTGCAAGGTGTGGGAAGTTCAGTTACTGAATCACTGAGAAGGGAGAGTGAGTGATTTTAGCTTTACTTTTTACTTTTAGCTGAAAAAATGGTGCAGAGGAGTGCTGAAAGAACAGAACAGTATTGAAAATATTTAAAAGTTGGCCCAAAGCAAGCAGTACTGGAAATATCCTCAGCCAGGAATCCAAACTTTCAGATGATTTTCTTCACAGAATCAAAGCCAGAACAGATGACTTCATTCCCTGGATTCTTCTGACAGGGAAGGACCATTTTCTACTATACATTTTCTCATTATTTGTTCAAAACTGCTAAATGCCTCAAGTTTACAGACTTGTTCTGTTTCCCTCAGGAGACTATTCCAACACCTTGCCCATTATTTCACTATTGGGAAATTTTCCTTGATATTTATTCTTAACTGCATCCAATTTCATCTAGTTACACTCCCTTTTATCACTCATAACAGTGCCAAGCTCAGAATCTCATTTACACTGTTCAAACATTTCTAGTTTATGTTCCTTCCCATAGCTATTACATATCCAATTTCAACCTACAAACCATTTGAAGTACATCTATAGTGTTTTTTCTAGTTTTCTCTGTCATGAGCACATGCTGAAAAAAGTTTGCCATCTACAAAGCGTTCTGTTCCCATCTTCAGTTGAACAGAGGACTGCAACTTGTGAAAACATGCTGCCTTGTTCACACAAAATGAATTCATGCTGGAATCTTAGATCTAAGAAGGCACTGTCTCCATACTACATGTCCCTTCCCCTTTCCTTGGCCCTGACAAATAAGTACATTATTCAAAGCTATGACAAATAAATTTACATCTGGCAGTACAAATGTTGCAAGTGTGTTATTTTTTGAACAAACCAGTTGTTGATTTAGATAATAAAACCTTTAACATTTGTAGCCTCTTTATAATTAACTCTATGACCCTTTTGATGCATTCACACTTCTGAATTCCTAAGATAGTGTGTACATATACGCACACCATTACAAACCTTCCCACACTGACGGTGCCACTGAGTACTTTGGCTCTCAGACCGTTGCTTATAGGTTGTTCTAACTGGAAGATAAAGCATTTCAAAAAGTTTTTTTTACAGAACTCAGAGCAGAAGATAAATTCAACAACTGCTGATTGAGCTATTCCCATTATTAACAGCAGTAGATAGTTCACATGCTTAAAAGGTGTTTCTGTTTCTGCAACCTGTGCACCCTCAAAATATTTGTACCTAAAATAGCTGTAACTAATGCGGTTTGGCCTCATGAGCTGCATGGAGGCCTGTGTACGTACAGAATACCGTGAGCTCAGCAGAGGCTTGGTCCTCTCCCACAATGTTCTCTGCAACACATGAAATCCACAGCCCGCTGTCCATGGATGAGACATTCTTTATGGTTAGCGAAGCAGGATTCTTACTTGTGTCACTCTACAAATGATCAGAAAAACATACGTGTCAGGTGAAGCCTAAAGAAACAAGGGAGAGGCAGGGCATCATTGGCCACAGCTCAATGGCATTTTTCGTTTTCCCTTCCCTTTAGCTCCATCAGTCTGTCATTAATCAAAACGTTACTTTGGCACCTTATCCAACAGACACAAAGACAGAACCGTTGGTGATTGAAGTTCCAAAAGTGTATTCCTGCTGCAAACACCGCACTTGTCCATTTCTCTGTCCTGTTCCTTTCAGTTTCTGTCTTTCCTAAACACTTCCCCTCTAGAAAAATGTCTTCTTGACCCACACCCTTGCTTATCCCTTTCTTCTATTTCATGACCTATTTATATGGTCTATCTCTGGTCCGCTTGAATTTTTCCTCCCCCCCTATATTCTGTTCAGTCCTTCTTTATTGCCTTTTGTCCCTTCGCTATTAAGTATGATATCTCTTTCACTGCTGCCTTCTGAGCTCTACTGCACTGTGACAACTGTGTGTCTTCTCCCCACTCCTTAAGCCAAATTTTTCTTGAAAGCTTCTTCCTCTTGTAAACAATTAATGAGAAATTACATCCCTTCTAATACCTATAAGCTACTGTTTTATAAGCATTGTTTTATAAGTAATGTTTTATGTGTTTGAGCACTAAGGCTAATTAAGGTAAGAATTATTAATCTTAGAACTCTTGATTCTTGTGATTCTTAGAAAGCTCACGGCACATTTACAGCTTAAATGCCATATTAAATATGCAGCTGTGCTACACTGCATAAAGTGAATAGGGCAGAATCATTAAAAAACAAATAATAAAAACATTTAAAAACAAAGAATAGGGCAGAATCATTAAAAAACAAAACAACAACAACAACAGAACAGCTAACAAAGCTAGTTGTTAAAGCTAGTTGTTAAAGACAGTGTTTTCTTAAACCAGGTCATTCACGTGATCTCCAAATAACTACTATTTCCACACTTGAATTTTTCATAAAATGCAAGACTACATTCTTAAAATGAAAAAGAACTAAAACATATTTAGAAAACATACAATAATTAGTATTCTTTTTAAAAAACTCCTTTTGAAATAATTTGTTAGTGTACATGCATGCTTCAGTGTTGCACAGTAGACAAAAAGATAATACCCTGCACTCGTAAAACCACAGTGACCTTCAGCAGCAGTCAATGGGGACACGTGGGGATACTCCTGCATACAGGACCAAAAGTTTGAACCTCAAGGTCCCACCTAAACCTCACTTGAGTTAAATGCCCCATTGATATCAGTGTGACATTGATATTAGTGTGACACTGTTATCAATCAGTATGGTATCAATCAGGCAGTATGGAAAAGCCAAAAAGCCCACTGCATTGTTCTCTACGTGCAGCTCTCAGAGGTGAGAAGTACTTAAAGCTGGATTCAGAGCAGAGGGCTTCAATAGTGGATTCAGGGCTGGAATCTATAACAAGAAAAATCTAACTGACATAAACAAATTTATATACCAGCATAAAAAATAATCATATGGTGAAATGTAGGACTAGAGTATAGTTTTAACTTTTGTTTACATTTCCCTTTGTAAAATGGGAAAGAGAGAAAAAGCAGGCAAAGGCAGCATAGGAGGTGAAGAAAAGGGAGTCAGAAATATAGATATGAGACTGAGAGAAAGGAAACCAAAAAAACAACACTCATGGAGAAGGGAAGGATAGTTGTGAATGAGGCTTAAAAAGCACTCATTCTTCTGCTACTGAAAAGACTACCGTGCTCCACAACTAAGGTTGTAGCCAGCCTATATTATGAGACCCTCCGAAATCTCAAACATGAAGTTATGCCAGGACAGAGTATTTCTGGAAAGCTTGAAGAAAACTGAACACGGCATTTGAAAGATAGGAAGGTTAAAAAATGAAGTGATCTCACTTTTTGAACAGCATCCCACATTTGTTTTGGCTCATAACTAAAAAAAAGGAAAAAGAAGAAAAAGAAAAAGCACAACTTGGCATAAGTTCCCCAAACTGTTTTAATTTCTTGTTCTTTATGATGACTGGTTCCTTTGGGTAGTTTTCCAGATTAGAAAAAGTTTTAAAAATAAAACTAGAGCTCTGTAGAATTCTTTCTTATGGAAGCTGAGAGACACAGTAATCAAAGCCTATATATACAGCCCAATACAATGATCTCAGGGCACAAAGTACAAAGGTAAAGACATCCCAGAGGTCCTGGCATTCTCACACTGCAGGAATAGTTTTAGAAGTACACATCCCACACTTTTTACAGACTAGAAAGCTTTAGGTTGTCTGCACCCTCATGAATAGCCAATGCCATGAAACTGTAAATAATAGAAGGCCTTGAACCATGAAAATTATGGCAATTTAAGGGGTCAACAGCTGCACCTGGTTAAAAACTTCTTCTTATCAACAACTCCATCAGAATGAACTGTCTATCTCCATTGTGCATACAGTCCAAGGAAAGGACATATAATACAAAGCTCTCAGAAAACAAAATTCCCACTCTCTTTGGCTATGTTGAGCTAAAATCTTCATACTTCATTAAAAAAAAAAATTCTTTTTAATAAAACCCTCACCTTAACTTTCTTGACTCTCTGTAGTTACTTTGTTTTCTTGAAAAAAAAGTGAAATAAAACACAAAACAATTAATTTTGATGAACAAAATTGTCCAACCAACAGTTAATATGGACATGCAGGTTTTGGCTTGAAAATATAACAAATTAACAACCTAAGGCTTTTTTCATGCCTTGGGTGGGTAAGAGATATTCTATGTGCATAGGTATATGTGATACTGAGAAAGGACTTTTGCTTCAGTATCTTTATTCACCATCTTAACCCCAAGAAATTACTGCACACTCATTTACAAATCTGAATTAACAAGTGTTTGCCATTTTCCAAAAGCACTGCAGCAGCTGCCCTGGATTTAAAGAAACTGGGAATTAAATTAGAGTCCAAAATCAATCTTCTATTTCATCTTTTTGATAAGAAGTTAACTAAAGGTGGACACAAACTTCATTCCATCCATCAGCAGATACCTGTACAGGAATTATCACCTCTTTGAATATGAAACTTACCTCATGGTTTGAAACAAGATTAGTGAGCACCCAGGACACATTAGGGGGTGGCCCTCCACTAGTATCACAGTACAATGTGATGCTCTTTCCTTCTACCACGGTGATGTTGTAATTGCTTAAGTTTGCTGAGGGTAAGTCTGTGATAGAAAAAGCAACAACAAAAAACACATGCGTTTGTATGTGGCAGAAATAGACACTGCTCAGTTCTAAGGAAACTGCATAAATACAAGCCAAAACAACACTGAATTAGATATTCATTGTGGTCAGTTACTGTTGAATTATAAAGTACAAACAACATCTCCGTAAACTATAATCTTTAAGCAGCTATAACATTTTCCTGCGCCACCTCTGCTTCACATCTTCAGAAAACATTACTGCAAATGAAAACACATTAAGTTAATTATACAGGAAACTGTTGCAGGTGGGCAAACAGAATTTATCCTAACTTCAGTTTTTAACTTAAAAAAAAAAAAAAGAAAGAAAGAAAAGAAAAGAAAAAAAACACTAAAACCTTCCCCTCATTCTTTAAACCTGGAAATTTAAGCTGTCTCTGTTACAGTTGCAAAGAAATCTTAATTTTCCAGAAAGTAACTGACACTGTGGTATTCTCACTGTTCTCCACAACTGTAATGGGAAAATACCCAGGCACCACACAAGAGATTACAGTCCTTCCTCTCACACAGAGACACAGCTCACAGAGAGCACAAAACCCAAATTTTCAAGTACAAAATGAGGGAAACAAAGCACTGAATATATCAAAACAGAGGATAGAAAGGCCAGAAGTGAGCATTGGCTATTGCACAGAGCTGCTTTCCAAGGCATCCCAGTAGGCTTAGCTATTGTTCTCAGTAAAGCCTGGGTACCTGGTGAGATGGTACCACTCACTAGGAAAACAACCCAAATTTTGCAGAAGACAGGACTCCCCCTCCAACTCATAGTATAAACCACTCTGCACCTCAGTTTTCAGCACCTAAAGCACTGTGAGCTTCCAGAAGAATAAATATATAAGTGCTTCCAAATGCACAAGGAATTATAGACTGATCCTCCTCAATAAAATGTAAGGAATACCAATAGACACCTAGTACACAGGGCCACACATCAAATTTCTTAACAAAGCAAATAATGATGCAGCATGCTAGAAATATTAATTCTTTTTTAAGTAATTCTGCAGCTTCAGGTGGAGCTGCTATGTATTGTAAAAAGCCTTGCCCTCTTTTATGATGAATTTATGCTGGAGGGTAGAAAGGCCCTGCAGAGGGACCTGGACAGGATGGGCAGAAGCCAGTGGAATGGGGTTCAACATGGTTACGTGCTGCACTTCAGTCACAACAACCCTGTGCAGCGCTACAGTCTTGGGGCAGAGTGGCTGGAAAGCTGAGCAGAGGAAAAGGACCAGGGGGCATTGGTCAATACTTGCCTGAACATGAGCAAGCAGTGTGCCCAGGTGGCCAAGAAGGCCAACAGCACCATGGCTTGTATCAGGAATAGTGTAGCAAGCAGGACCAGGGAGGTGATCGTCCCCCTGTACTCGGCTCTGGTGAGGTCACACCTCCAGTACTGTGTTCGGCTTTGGGCCTCTCAGTACAAGAAAAACATTGAAGCCCTGGAGCATGTCCAGAGAAGGGCAATGAAGCTGGTGAAGAGCCTGGAACACAAGTCCTATGAGGAGCAGCTGAGGGAACTGAGGTTGTTTAGTCCAGAGAAGAGGGGGCTCAGGGGATGCTTTATGGCTCTCTACAGCTACCTGAAAGAAAGGTGTGGGGAGCTGGGGGTCAGCCTCTTCTCACAGGTAATTAGTGATAGGACTAGAGGGAATGGACTCAAGTTGCTCCAGGGAGGTTTAGGTTGGAAATTAGGAGACGTTTCTTCTCAGAAAGAGTAGTAAGGTGTTAGAACAGGTTGCCTAGGGAGCTGGTGGAGTCACCATCCCTGGGGGTCTTCAAGGAAAGGTTGGATGTGGTGCTTAGGGACATGGTTCATTGATAGGGTGATGGTTGGCCCATGGATGATCCTGGAGATCTTTTCCAACCTTGATGATTCTATGATTCTATTTCTCATCAGCAGTTCTATGCAAGTTTTACTTGCAATTTATGATCTCAAATAACCTAGCTTATCTACTATGCTGGATATTTATGCATGATCCTGCAACTACTTTCTTTTCCTGAAACAATTTTTTGTTTGTTTGTTTATTTTTTAATACATATATATACAAGTTAGAGTACAGAATTTGCATTATGTACTTGAAGGTATGAAACTTTACAGAAGGACTTATATCCCTCTTTACTTATATAAAAAGCCCCAAACAAACAATTAACCACCTTGTTAGTGTGAACTATAACACTTTAATACATTTGCCAGAAGTTCAATAGAAGCTATATGTATTGGAAATCTCTATTTAAGTTTATTAGTTCAATAAAAATGAAATGAGAAGAACTAATAGCAAAGAGAAGACTAATCATTTTCCAGGCAATGCTTTCTTGCCTAATAAGATTTGAAGATCAGCACGAGTACATGATAACTGTTTAGATAATTCTAGTGCTTCAAGCAGAGCTGTAATATGATTCTCATTATAGGCATCATGGATTTATTCTATTATTTTCACTTTATAAATCATATGTAGAAGTTTATCGAGACAAAGCTGGACAGTTTGTACATCTTGATGCAGTAATCTGTCAGCAAAGGTAGCCATCTGCTCTCGCCTGCTGTGAATTCAAATCTCAGCAGTGTCTGTCAACTAGTTGGGCAGGAAATAAAACTAATCTTAGGGAACATTTGGATATTAATTACACTGGTTAAGGAACAAGGAGAGAAGTAATGAGATCATTTACTTTATAAAGTTACCCTTTCACACCACCTCTGAAAACCTTTCCAATTGCTTTTGCCAGACCTGGATATGCAGACAGATATCACTCTCCCTTCTTCCTCGCACAAGTACTAGGGACAAGGTCTACATGATAGATCAGTGCTTCACTGTTGAAACCTACATGGTTCATAACAGTATATTGTTTCACATGAAACCTGTAATTTAAGCAAATTAAGGTAACTTTGGTCTCTAAGATCCCTGCTTTAATAGCTGTTAAGTTCTGAGACAGCTTCGTCCTGCTGTGTTATTCACAGGACAGACAATAAAAATTGAATTCCTTTGGTACTGGTTCTTGTTCCCACTTTCCAAAAGTCTGCACATACCATGCTCATGTTATAGCTCTGAGGAAGACAGCTATATCATGCTTGAATCCTGCCAGAAGGTTAAAAAATAATTTTATTTTTTTTTATTCTGTAGATTCTTATTTTTATGCTAAAAACCAGTTATAGGATCTTGCAGAAAACAACACAGCAAAAAAATTAAGACTATAACAGCTATATTACATTAATTATATTGTATGGTATTATATTTTATAGTGTAATCACATAATTGTATGTGTTTTCTTTTATTCCTTTTCCAGTCATGAAAGGGTGGGGAAACACAAAAGAATTGCCTTTGGATACATTTCTGTTAGTAGCATATCTTGAGCCAATGAACTTTTGTTCACCAATGTCATTTTGTCTTTTTTTCAGGTGGCACTCAGACTACTACACAGGCAAATACACATTAGTTGAGAGAGGTGGCTCTGTTTAGAGAAAACAGACAGCAACATAAGACCTCAGATCTAAAAAAGGTGATATATTGGACTTGCCAGTAAAGCAATGTGACCAAGGAGCAAAATCTGTACTTACAAGTAACTGAATACAAAAAGATATAATATTCCCTAACAGATACATATGCTCAGTATGTGTACTCAGAGTAGTGTGAGATCATTTATAAGAATTAGTAGCATTTTGTCACCTACAATACTACAAAGATATTCAGCCTTGCTGCACTTATTCCTAACTTACTTTGGCTAAACATGGTGTTTTAGATGACTATCACTTATGTTAATATAGATGCACATTTAAAAGGACTTTGTATATAGCAATCGATGCAAGCAACCACACGACAGGTTCAAATGGTTTTGTATACTGCCAGCAGAGTGAATTTAGACTGTACCACAACAGCCCACACAAGGTAGACATGACATCATCTTCCCACAAGTCTCATCCTGATATCTGTCAGACAGAGATTAGCCTATGCCCCAAAGCTTGAAACATAGTATTTCTTTCAAACTTTGATAGCATTAATTATTATAATTCTGGATATCAGTAATAACCCTGCTAGTATCTGATTTATTTTTTTAAGTTTGCTCTGTTCTTAGCCTTAATAGCTTTCTAGAGCAATGAGTTTCACAGGTGTACTGTCCAGACTGTATGCAAAAGCATTCCCTTTTACCATCTCTGAAATTTGTTTCTGAATTCCAAATTCATTGAGTGCTGTCCTAAGTTTAAGTGTAAAACTTCTCGGAAAGTGTTCTAAGAAAAGAATGATCTGAATGATCTTCTTAAGATCACTCTATTGTATTTGTTTTTTTTCTCATGCCCTTTTTCTTTTTAATATCTATTTAAAGCTTTCCAATCTCTCAAAAATAGGAGAACAGAACTTGCTATTGAGGATTTAAAATTGTAATGTTGAGTTTAATGGATGGATAGCAAGGGTACAATAAAATCTATGTGTTTCATTATGTATAGGTATTATGGCTATTGTATACCTATACATATAGAGAAAATCTGTTTTCATATTGAAATTGATAACATTTTATTCCAGGGAATAAGTAACTATATTAGAATAAGTAGTTACTTCCACTCACCCCAGACCAATGGGCCAAAACAGAGGCAAGCAGGAGAGACTCATTTATGTCCAATGAGTCTCCCTAAGTATCATGTCAGGCTTCAGAAGGAACAAACCCTCCGTTAAGAAAGGGGGACCTATTTACCTTAAAATCAGCGCAAATCAGTGGCCTGAGGCCCTGTTATAGTGGAACTGTGAAGAATAGCTAGGGAATAACTCATATATTCAGAGTGCACAGCTGGGACTTCAACAATCACAAAACCAAATCTTTTGGCTAAAATTTTCAAAGGTTACAACAGCATTTGGCTACACAACTGTCAATGGCAATTAATAAAAAGAACATGTCTAAATTCCTACAGCTTTCAAGGAACTCACGCTGCTACTTACTACTTTCTACATAAAAGTTACACTACTTTTGGTAAAGTCAAGCAGTCACTG